TGGATACTCAGGTAAGGGTCCTGGGGTCCTCCTCACCCCTCCATGAGGGGCTGTAAACAGTCTATAAGCCCAGCTGGGATGATCCTTTTGCAATAGAGGACACCAAGATGGCCGTCCCTCGGCTCAGCAGTTAGTCATCTACAACACCGCTTGGCCATTGGATCTGGGTTTGATTCCCAGCACCCACATGGTGGCTAACAACCATATCCAACTCCTGTCCCAGGATGCTCTCTTCTAGCCTCTGTAGGCACCAGGCAGGATGTGGTACACAGGAACACAGGCAAAAACACCCATGTAAATAAAATAATTTTTAAAAAAGAAAGTCAAGTGAAGCCAACACTCAAGAGGCAGAGGCAAGCAGATCTCTGAGTTCAAGGCCAGTCTGAGTTAGATATCGAGGTCCAGGACAGCCAGGAGGAAAGGCACAGCAAGATCCTGTAAAAGTAAAATAACAAACAAATAAATAAATAAATAAACAAACAAACAGACATGGTAGCGAATATGTTTGATCCCACCACTCAGGAGGTGTGGCCAGGCAGATCTCTGTGAGTTCAAGTCCAGCCTGGTCTACAATAGTGAGTCCAGGACAGCCAGGGATATTATGCAGAGAAATCCTGTTTTGAAAAACCAAAATAAAGAAATATAAAAAGGAAAAAAAGAAAGTCAAATGAATGAATAAAGGTAGGAAAAACCTTGAAAGACAACCTGGAGAAAGCACTGGGTTTTTTGTTTGTTTGTTTGTTTGTTTGTTTTTGATCGATTGATTGATTGACTGTTTTTTTTGTTTGTTTGTTTTGTTTTTTGAGACAGGGTTTCTCCATATAGTCCTTGTTGTAGCCTCAAACTCAGAGATCTGGCTGCCTCCTGGGCACTGGGATTAGAGGCGTGCACCACCACTGCCCAGCTTGGCTTATTTTTTCATATCTTCCCTTAGTGCCAACACTAAGGATCACCCGGCCTGGTCCTTCCCCTGGCTCCCTCATCAGTCCCCCACTGGCTGGAAGAAAGGTGACTGATAAGGGAAAATTAGAGGCCTCTTTACTCTTATAGGTAAAACATTAATTTTCTAGATTCTTGTCTCATCTTCTTGTCTCTTCCAGCCACTTAATCCCCAACCACAACATAATGTCTCTTTCTCATCTTTTTCTTCATTTCAATTTTTTTGAATATGGATGCATATGGATGCCATTCTCTTATTATTTATCTGGAGACAAGATCTCACTATGTAGCTTTGACTGGGCTGTAATTTGCTATATAGACCTGGTTGTCCTTGAATGCAGAGATCTGCGTGCCTCTGCCTATTGGTGCAACGATTAAATGCACAGCTCCTCCCCCCCCCCTTTTTTTTTCAAGACAGGGTTTCTCTGTGTTGCCTTGGCTGTCCTCGACTCGCTTTGTAGACCTGGCCTCAAACTCACAGTGATCCACCTGCCTCTGCCTCCCTGAATGCTAGGATTACAGGCGTGCGCCACTGTGCCCGGCTTTCCAACACTTCTTAATTGAGAGAGCATTAATGGGGAGAGAGAAACATTTTGGCTTAGGTTCTTTTAGCTGGTGGTATTTGAGTTTCCTTGACTTTCTTTTCATCTCATCCCCAATAAATGGGGCTTTGTCTGCAGGCCCAAGGTCTGATGGAGACCTTATCACTTCCTGATCACCCAGTAAGCTCCACATGAGCTGTGAGAGTGGGAATGCGGCTTAGTGGTAAATGTATGTGCTTACCCTTTGCAGGCTCTGAGTGTGACACACACACACCCTCAATAAAAACAAAAACAAAAACAAATAAAGATGAAACATGGAGGGTGATTGCTGAGGCCTGGGCCAGGTAGCTGCAGGGCTGTGTTGCAGAAAGGCCCTTTCCCTCATTCAAATTGCTAGGGATCTGAAAGCATCCAAGAAGAGATGAAGGATGCTGAGCGGCTTATGGCTGCCAAGCTTTTGGAGGAAGCTCTGCAGAAAGACATCTCCTGGTTCACAGGGGGTGGAACCCTCAAGAAATCTTGGGGTGCTTCCTAGCAACAGCCTTGGAGGCAGGGAGGGAGAGGAGAAAAAGAGAGAGGGAGGGGCTTGGGCATGTCTGCTCCCACTGGAGCCCAGAGAACAGTCTGTTCCTGCTGCCTCCTTGGCAACCAAAATCCAAGCTGGAGGGGAGGGGGCTGGCAGAGAGAGCCCCTTGGAGGGTCTTTAACTATCTCACTCATGCCCCACCTTCTGCCTTTCCCTGTAGGTAAAGGGGTGCCTTGATGCAGAGATGAGGGTATGGGAAGAAACAGTCTAATTGGGGGTGGGGGGGGGTTGATAGCTCATGGCAAAGAGAGAACATGGGGATAAACTGGGGATAAACTGAATCCGAGAAGAGCTAGAAGCTTCAGGAAACAGGTGGGCAGGATGAGCAGGTGGTAAGAGCGATGATGCAACATCAGGTCAGGGGCTATAAGCCCAGACCTGGACTGAATCCTGGCATCTGGTGAGATGCCAGCTCTGGAGGCTGCGTGCCCTTCACTTTGCCCTTGCCCAGGTCTTTTATCGGCCCATATTATGAGCTCAGGGAAAGGTGGGAATGGTGAACCTTTGTCTTCAAGTTCAGTATGTCCTACTCTGTTCCTGGCAGGGGCGGGTTGAAGGTGGGCTTGTAGGGGCTTCACTTAGATCTCTCCTAGGATAATTTAAGGAAGTATCCTCCATCTTCTCTGCTTCAAGACAAGCGGTGGAGCATGACTTTAATCCCAGGACTCAGCACTCGGGAGGCAGAGGCAGGAGGGTCACAATTTCCAAGCAGTCTGGCAGCTAGGGCTACATAGCAAGTTAGTAGCAAGCCCCTGTCCTCAAAATAGACAAGCAAGCAAACAGACCAACAAGTAAAATGGCACAAATAAACAATAAACCCTCCAGGACACAGACAGAGACAGGAGTGCCACCTTTGTGTGCTGGAGTCTTTCAGTCCTCATCCTGGTCCAGATTACTGCTGGACCACCGCCTCCCCAAGTCCTGCCTAGTTGAGGCGGAATATAATTGTATTTCTCGTGCCCAGGGATTATCTCTCAGCTCCTCTGGTATCCTAGTCCCAAGAGACTATTTCCATATGAGCATGAACACCCCCCCCCCAGCACTGCCTTGCTCCCCGGGGTTTTAACCAAATCTGATTATTGTTGAGGTGGCTCCAATTAGCAGACAGCCACCCTCAGCGCGCTGACCACACACGGCAGCCCCCTGCCCTGAACGGCAGCTGTTGCAGGTCCACAGGGAGCCGGGACTGAACAGGTTCATTCACTATGTGCTGACTCTGCACGCTGCAGCCTCAATTCCCCACTGCAGCTGCCACTGTGCAGCGCAGGCTCCCTTCAACCATTGTGTGTTGTCCGTCGGTGTCCCCCCCCCCCCCGCGCCCCGCCCCGCCCCATCACCAATAACTGCTGGCCTCCACTTTGCTCGTCCCTTTTGTTGTTGGGAGCCCCAAGAGAGGCATTCTCTCTTCCCCTCACGCCTTGGCAAACCCTTCACTTGTAAGTGAAGTGAAGTGGCCCAGGGTGGGGGCGGCTAAGACCAAGACGAGCGAGCAAGGGCGGCCCAACTTGGATAGACTGTTGGTCCGCATCCCCGCTCAGAGAGAGCAAACCATTCCGTCCGGTGTAAACTGACTGCTCAGAAGAGCAGCTCCCCTGACACACTCGCTGGCTCCTCCCCAAGAGCAGGCTGTGGAGGCAGGGCTCCGCCCCGGGAGCCGTGGGAAGGCTCTGGCCCCCGCTGGTAAAACTGGGCTAATGACAGCGGGGGAACCGGCGGGGCCGGAGGGGGGTGCTAGGGTAATTAGACTTTTGCCTGGCGGTAGTAGATCTCGAGATGAAAGGGGGTCTGGCGTCACTGGCAGGGCTTTATGTCCATGAATGCAGGTGCGTGCCTGCGTGCGTGCGTGTGTGTGTGTGTGTGTGTGTATGTGTGTGTGTGTGTGTGCGCGCGCGCGTGTGTGTGGTTGGCGCACGTGCGTGCGCGTGCGCGCGCAGGGGTCCGGAACTGGCATGGAGACCTCTCCTTTGAAGAAAAAAAAAAAAAAAAGACGAGTCCACCTCTTTGCAGCCACTCTCTGCTCCTTAGGTTGGCCCTGGGACCATTTGGATTTTGAGGGTGCAAACACGAGAGGAAAATACCCCCTCGGGGAAGCTGGGAGATGAGGGGCCGCGGCGAGCCTCGCCCGCCCCTCTCCCCAGGCTTAGCACCGGGAGGGTATTGCTGGGGAATGGCTGGTGGGCAGTGAATAGAAGGCGCCTCCACGGAGAACAGAGACGTGTGCCAGAGGAGGCAGTGGGTCCAGCATGACTGTTAGAAACGAGAGGGAGGCATAGCGTGGAACGAGCCCTCCGAGAGGGTTAGAAAACAGTGCGGTGGAAGTTAGGAGGATTTCAGAAGTAACCTGTCCAACCCCTGGGCTTTTTAAGCTCCAGCCCTGGAAGCTGCAATTTGTTCAAGGTCACGCAGGGAGTTGCTTGGAAAGAAGGGACCCCGAACTCTGAAACAAAACTACCCCTAGCGTTTGGTATCTGGACTCTCTCCTGGATTTCATAAGGTGCAGAGAGCTCCTCGGTCCTTCTCCCCCTAACCCCCGGGGCGAAAACCATAAGAACCCCCCAATCCTCCCGGCATGTTTTATTTTAAACATGACATCTCTCTCAAAATGTGTCACCGAACATCGCTCCCCGACCGACGGAGCCGCAGGGGTGGTGGGGGTAGGGGGTAGGTGGGCGAGTCTGAACCTGGTTAGGGGCCAAGGCAGTGGAGGGGGGTGCCGGGAGTGGGGTGGGGGGTGGGGGGCGGGCCGGGGGTCCCAGGCGCGGCCGGGGAGGCGGGGTGCGAGGGGCGGGGGCCGGCGGCTGCGAGGCGGCCTGCAGGGAGCAGCCGCGAGCCGGCCGGGCGCGCGGAGCCGGAGCCCCAGCCGGAGCGGGGCGGGGGAGGGAGGAGCCAGAGCGGCCGCCGCCTCTGCCGGAGGAGCCGCGGGGCCGCCACACTCGCCCCCCGCCCCCCCCCGCGCTCACTCGCACTCACACCCCGGCGCTGGAGGCGGGCGGCCCGGGCCCCACCGGCCCCCCATGGACGCCCCCGGCACGGGGCGCTGAGACCCCAGCGTCGTCGCTCAGCTCGGTCCAGCGCGCCAAGCCGAGGTAAGGAGGAGGGAGCGAGGGGGCATTAATATGCAAATGCACCGCGATTGATTATGCAAAGCCGCGGGTCTCCGGCCAGCTCGGGGGCGGGCTGGGGGCGCCCGGGGGGGTTCCCGCCGCCGACCTCAGCCTTTCCGGGCTCTCGGGTGACCCTGTCACAGCCCGAGAGCTAGCCACTCACGACCTGGGAAAGGAAGGTGCTGTTAAGTGGTCGGTGGGACACCCCCCCCCCTCCCCGGGTTCGCCCGCGGAGATGGCGTCTGGGCCTCCCCTTCGAGGGCCCGCCCGGCCTCTGTCCGGCCGGTCGGCTGCGCATTCCCGGGCTGGGCCCCGCTGCCCGCCGAAGCTCCCCCGCCCGCCGCGTCGCGGTTTGTTTACGGTGTGCCTGAAGCCTGTCGTACCCCCCCCCCCCCTCAACCTCCCCAGCCAAAGAGGCCGAATGGCGTTTGCAAAGAGCTGCCTCCAGCTGCGGAGGGCAATGTGGGTGCGGCAGGGTGGGGGTGCTTGCATGGGCTAGGGGAGAGAGAAGACCCCCTCTCCTCTCCCCGCCTCCCCCGTTGAGCATGGCTTTCGGGTTGCAACACTCCTAATTGCAAAAACGCGGCGGGTGTGGGGTGTGTGGGGGGAGAGTGAGTGGAGGGTTGTGCTTGATGGTCCCTGGAATTGCTGGCCTGTGGTTGGGGAAGAGAAGAGGGAATGGACCCGTGTTGTGTGTGCGTGTGTGCGCGCGCGTGTGTGTACATGCTCTTGTTTCCCTCCCTTTGCAACGTGTCTTTGGTGCCCCTTTTCTGTCCAGGGCCCTCCCTTGTCCAGTGTGAAAAGAAGGCCTAGGAAGATGTCAGAGGCAATGGAGAGAGCCACCCATTTTAGGGACCGGAGGGGGAGCACACAGAAGGAAAGCCAGGGGGATGGGAGCCTGCCCCTGAATGTTGGCTCTAGACCCGGGAGGGGGAGGGGATGAAGGGGGCCATTGTCCAAGATGAAGGGGGAGGCAAAGGTGACATGCAGACACAGATATGCCCACAGACAGCCACATGCACACCCGGGGACACACAGGCAGATTCAAGGACAGGAGCTGCTGGACACACCCACATGGGGACAAGGGAAGAGGCCGGCTGCCGCTGTATAGTGGAGCTCATCGCGATGGGACACACCCACGGGAGGCTAAGAGCGGAGAGACGGCCTATGCACATACCCACGCACAGGGTCGCAGTGGGATGCTGTCCCACACAAGGGCAAGAAGGAGTCGCTGTCACTCACACAGAGAAAGTCACTCTCCGAATGCACACACCGCAGTTGCACACAGCCTGACAATCACAAAAGATCCTGTCACTCACAAGCACACACGCGCTCACATGTGCCCAGTCACACAGTCACTGTCACTCAGCCAAACAGACAGACAGACCAACAAAAACCTGCAGCTACCCATCAGTACGTGTGTGCACAACTTAGCAACAAGTATTCTCCTGGACCCATCCGTGGAGCTGAGGTTCTGTAGACAATAAAAACCTCTGCTGCCGAGAAAATCAAATTCGTCTGTAGAGAAAGGCTTTTCTGCTGTTATGGTGGGAAGCATGCCCTCCTGATAATATGGTCTTGTTACCATTGTCGTCGCTTGTCACACTAGCCGGTTACTAGATGGCAAACTCCCTGAGACGGGAGAATTTCTAGAAGAGCCCTGGATCCCACCCAGAGCCTAGCACAGTGTGTGCTCTGTAAACACTTGCTAATTGATTGACTGTGGGAACTCCCGGGCACAGGTGCACTCCTTTACAGCTAGTCTCACCGACGCAGGGGCCATGCCCAGGGCTCCGGCCTGCAGTCCCAGGTCCCACCTGGCAGTAGCCAGATAACCCCGCAGATAGACACATTGGAGCTGGGGCGGGAGTGCACTTAAGCTCACACAATCACAGGCTTTTCCCTCTGGCTTCTTTCTATCTTTTAGGCTCAGCCACTGTGTAGCAATGGGCTCTCCCCCCCCCCTTAGAGGGACGGGGAAACAAGAGCAAAGTGGGTGCAGGGGGGTTCCAGAGGGCCGAGTCATGGGCCTGCAGCAGTGTCCAGTGACTTCTAGCAGCTGGGTTTGTCCTGGTTGCTGGGGGAGGGGTGTCTAGGGAAGAGTTGGGAGTGGCTTTCTGGCTCTGTCTCATCCCTAGCCTATAAGCCAGTTGGGGACCTGGCTGCCCCTGCTAGGGGTTATTTGGCTGGGCCATTCCTGGGGACCCTTAGTTGTCCCCAGCTGCGCAACTGCCTCCCACTGTGAATCCGCCCCTTTTCTCACCTCTGGCCCTCCTGTCCAAACTTGGAAGCTTTCCTTAGGAGGCTGTAAGCTGGCGAGTGTCTGCGTGAGTGAGGTGTATTTTTGACTTGGAATTTCTCTCTAACTCTGTCTCTCTTTCGGTCACTGTCTTGGGGTGTCTGACTCTCTCCTTGTTTCTCTGCCAGTCTGTAACTCTCTCTCTCTCTCTCTTGCCCTGTGCTTGTCTCTGTTTCTGCCACAGCCTCTTTTTCTCAGAGCTGGCAGCAACATTCTTCATACTTTTCCAGTTGTTAATACTCAAATTCAGGCCCTCCGGGGCCCGCCCAGCTTTCCTCTGGGGTCAGTAGGAGGTTGGGGGGGGGGGCAGTGATGCTCAGCTGGCTGTTCAGGACATCCTGCGCTTCCTTAACACTGCAGCTGTGGCGGGCCAGCAAGCTTTGGGGGCTGGGAATGGGGAAAGGAAGGAGAGTAGGCTACAGCCTGTGTTGACCCCTCGAGCCGGCAGGCCCAGCCAGGGTAACACCGGTTAGGTAGGAGAACTTTAGTGTCAGGCCGAAGCTCTTTTTCTGGAGCCAGTGAGGAGACTCCTCCCTTAACTGATCCAGGCGGGAAAACCATGCCCTCCCCCACCCCCACCACCTTGTGCAGTGGCAAGAGTTGGCAGGACCCAGCTGGGTCTGAATTAGAACTCATGATGGCCTTTCTTCACATCCCTGGCAGCTGAGACCCACCTCAGAGATGTCCCAACAGCTGTCTTCCTTGCCCAGCTTCATCCTAGGTTCTGAGGGTACAGCTGTTTAGACTGTGCCAATGTGTGTGTGTGGCGGGGGGAGTCTATGGCCCACACATGAGGACAGAAAGGGTGGCTCTTTCAGGGAGGGAATTTGAATAGGGACTACTGGCACAGGAGACCTAAAGCCTGGGGAAGGCTTGCCCCCTCTAGCCTTGGCCTGCTTGGGTGGGAAAGTACTGGTAATGTTGTTTGCTTTGGCGCTCAGCTGCTTAGGTTTGAACCCTAAATGCCTCCTGCCAGGTGTATAACCTTGAAAAGACTTTTCATTTCCTTCTTACCGTATCTGTAAATTAGAGATGATAATACCTACCTCATTTAGCTTTTGACATTTCCAGATGTTAAAATATTAAATGCTGGGGAGGCTGAGGCAGGAGGATCAAGGCCAGTGTCATCTGCATAGAGAGTTGGAGGTCAGCCCGAGTTATGTGAGGCATTGTCTCAAACAGATAGATGCATCTGTAATGCTTTAAAGGTGCCCAGTTCCTAGGCAGGTCTAGTGAGTGGCATGGGACTGTATGCCTAGCGCTGGCTGGAAAGGCCGGGGAAGAAAGACTGGGAGTTCTAAGCCAGCCTTGGATACATAGGGAGATTGTTCCACCCCCCTCCCCCACAATGCACCTAGCTAATTGGTGGAGACCCGGGGATCTTTGGGAGAAGTGTGGTGGAGATGCAGGTCTCCTGGATGTTACAGGAATGGGAATGGAAGTGAGTGGGGAACAGTGGGTGTCCGGCCTCAACCTGTCCACATCACCTCTCTTGCTCACACTTTTTTTTGTTTTGTTTTGTTCCTAACCAGAACTCAGAACCCACAGCAGGCCTCTCTGCCCCACCTCCTCCGACCCCTCACCTTTTAACTTAAAAGGAGCCCCTGGCGTCTCAGCCTGGGACACACCTCCTCAGCTAAAGGCATATGCATGAATGCCTGGGTGTCACTGCATCTCTCCCGGTGTTGGCAATGAGAGATACAGAAAGAAAGAGAGAGAGAGAGAGAGAGCACATGCATGAACAAAAGCAGTGCTACTCAGGGAGGAGGGCAGTGCCTTCCCTTCTCCTGGAGGTCCCATCACCCCAGCTACCTACCAGGACCTAGTCCTGGCTCACCGATGCCAGATTCCCCTGTATACGGTGCCCGCTGTATAGCGGCCGGGAGGAAACTGACCAGCCCATAGCACCTGGATAGCCTGGGTCTGTCCTGGTGTCCTTTACTTGGCTGTGGGTCTAAGGATACAGATCCTCTTTCCCACAGGCCCCATTTATTCAGCCCCTGCTCTTCAAGGTGAAGTAAGGACAATGAACGGGCAATGCCTGTTAGTGGATTGACTTGGAGCCTTGGTGTGAGAGACGGTCTCGATTCCAGTTCTCGTGGCTGCAGAGGCGCCGAGGGGAACTTTGGAGCCTCTTGAGGGGAGGCAGGTGTGGTGTGTGGAAAGAACACTGGCTGGGAGTCGGGGGCTGGGTTTTTGCCATTCACCAGTTGTATAACTCTCGGCCTGGCTTTTTATTATGTACCACCCACTTAGGGTAAGGGTCAAGAGCATAACATTGGGCATAGGGCTATAGCTTGCTAGCGGAACACTTGCCTGGCATGTATGAGGTCCCGAGTTTGATCCCTGGCGCCTCAGGGAAGAAAGACAAATGAGGCAAGATGTTAGCATGTTCAATCTTTATCGCTGGCTGGCACGGTAAGCTCTGTGGATTTCTCTCTCCCCCCCAGGCTGAGGATTCACGCGCCACCGGGAACCAGGGACAGTTCCGTCTCTCACTGAGACATCTGTGGCCTTCGTGCACTGGGACACGTGTCATGTGTCATGTCCTTTTGCCTGAGAGGCAAGAGCTGGGGTACCAATAGGGACCTCCTTCCTGTTTGTTCAGGGAGGTCAGAAGTTCACAGGTAGACAGGGAGACAAAATGGATATTATTGTACCCGGAAATGCTGTTTCGTTCCTC